GAACGTTTCGGGTACACCCACTACACCTGTTGGAAACATTACATTCACACAAATTGGGAATATGGTCACTGTAAGTTGTGCAACTTTTTGAACTTAATTCCTTGATAGCTGATGACTCTCTTAGGTGATCGGCACGGTGAGCAACCTTACGCAAGGAGAACACGGCTTTCATGTTCATGAAACAGGCAATCTGTCTATGAATTGTACGGCTGCTGGGGGTCACTTCAATCCTACCAACATGACTCATGGAGCCCCCAATGCTATAACGCGACATGTTGGCGATCTTGGGAACATTGTGGCAGGAGTGAGTTCAGAAATGAAATTAATGAGAACTTTTGGGTTTCTAAAATAAGCAGGGAATACCAAATTAGAATTGTTTTTCTTGAAAACATTATTTTCACGAATTAGTGCTTCCAAACTATTGTAGATAGATGCAATTTCAAAACAGTTTCCCTTAGCGCTGTTCAAAAATTGCTTCAGAATCTCAGCTTCACTCCAGTAATTTTTTTAGAACAACTGCTCGTCTTCTACATAGAATATAATTTAGATGAATGGAGTGGCAACGATCATGATTATAGACAGACAAATCTCATTGAGAACAGGATCACGTAACAGTATCATTGGAAGAGCTATAGTCGTACATGATGGCAGGGACGACCTGGGCCTTGGTGGCAATGCTACGAGCCTTATCACAGGCAATGCTGGAACCCGCTTTGGTTGTGGAATCATTAGACTTGTTAATTAACTCACCAACTGTTTCTTCATTTTTTTTCGTTTTAAATCATAGATTAGACTAAAGTACAGATAAATCATAAGAAAATTAGCGCTATAACTCGCTCCAGCATGAATCAAAACGAGCATTGTTAATTTCAAATAAGTAAAGACTTATTCTGGAAATGATTCATTCTTGGACCACTAAAGCTAGTTGTGCTATTTTTGAAGGTGCTTTTCCATTTATTGGTAAAGTAACAAGCGCCTGTTTACGGCTCAAATAATACATCTAGACCAGTTGAGGATAATTCTGAAAATTTTGATGGAGTGCTCTTACAATTGTATTCTAAGCTTACGCTAGTTTGAAGGTACCTTTCACATCAGTCTTTTCAAAGCGTATTTCAATAATAACATAATGCCTTTAATAAAGATTGTGCGCAAGTCATATTGTGTGATCGAGGGTGATCGAAAAACAGAAGTTATTTTGTCATTTAATGTAGATGATTTGGATCGCGTGGTTCATTCTACTAGATTAGCGATCCCAGCAATACATGAAAACACTTTGGCTATGGTATTAGCAGCAGAGCATCCGACGCTTCAGGCTTGAAGTTGTGATTTCTGGAGATATCTTCTGTTATGGTCTGCTACAGAAACAGC